GCAAGGAGGAGAAGAAGGTCAGGACACGCCCAAATCTCTCTCTCTCGTCCCCTTGAACCCCTTATTTTAAAACCCTAAAATTCTACTTTTTCACCCTGGGTTAATTCAACTACCACACTACTCAAACCCTTGTGGCTTGTAATTCGTCATACAAAGCTGGGCTGAAATCAAAGCCACAGGTGTTTTTGACTTTGTGCCAGGGTCTCAAGCCAGCCAGGGTAGCCAGAGGGATGTCCTGCGTTCCTACACCCAGCCAGGAGCAAGACTCCCTCATCACACAAATGCCATTGAGCCTGGGTCCATCACTAATCCTTTGGTCCTTCTTTCGGATGGCTCATTCTACTTGTTTTTGCCATGGGATCTCAGCTCTCTTCTCCCCCTGCTCCAGAACAAGTCTCAGGCTCCCACAGCAGCCCTCTGGACTGCAGGAAGAAGTGGAGAAGTCAAACAGTGCTCCAAATAAAATAAGGCCTCAAGGATTTTGGCTGTACCTCAGTGTTCTCCTGCTCCGACGTCCCATGTTCATGGTCTGAGCTTTCCTTGCTCTGCTTCCCTGAAGATTTGCACTTCCCCTTCTTGCACTTCCCACTGCAGGGCTTCTTTTCCCCTCTGCAGAGTGCCTGGAGCCGAGTCAGGAATTTGGCTTTCCAGGCCTCAAAGTCAGCCTCAATGCTGCCATGCTTGCTCTGGGCCACATTGCTGTCCCCCTCAGCCCGAGTCATGATCCTGCTGGCACTCAGCATCCACAGCCACCTGTCCATCCTCCTTCCAACCTAGGGCAGGAGGAAGGGTTGGAAAGGAAATTAAACCAGGACCAAGTACAAGCAGCCAACCAGAAAAGCAAGGATCAGCCCTGGGAAGAGCCAGTGAGCTGCATGGCACTGCAGGGTAAGGACCTGGGGAGTCCCTCGCAGGTGCTGGCTCAGCACAGACACAGGGCAGCCTAACCAGCACCACACCCCCTCAGACTCCACTGGAAAATCCCTCTGCCATCCATGGGGTGAAGGGATGGGCTCTGGGAACAGACTGCTCTGTGTGGTGCTTGTTGGTCAGAATGGCCACGTGTGTGACACACTGCCCCAGCTCTGAACATAACCTGTGACAAGTGATGCCATTTTTCTGTGTGAGGTAAGACCAATGATCAGGCAGAGGTACTGCCACAGTTCACATCAGAGAATAAAAAGCTAAAACCCACATCATAAAAAAGAGCCACGTTTAGAAGGCAGCAGCTTACAGTGCTGTGCCCTCAGGTGACTGCAGAAAGCTTTTGAAGTTGGGAAACGATCTCCGTAAGGATTTACCAAATGTGTTACCACACCTCCCAGTGCCTGTGGGACTCATTTCCCATCTGAAATCCAACTGCTTCAAAGCTGAATTGCCCAGGTGGCCAAGAAGGCAAATGGCACTGGCTTGTACCAGCAATGGTGTGGGAGCAGGACCAGGGAGAGCAGTGACTGTCCCTCTGCAGCAGCACTGCTGAAGCACCTCCAGTGCTGGGGGTACTTTTGGGCCCCTCACCCCAAGAAAAACCTTGAGGGGCTGAAGTGTGTCCAGGGATGGGAACAGAGTTGGGAAGGAGCTGAGACCCAGGAGAGGCTGAGGCAGCTGGGAAGGGGCTCAGCCTGGAGAAAAGGAGGCTCAGGGGGACCTTGTGGCTCTGCACAGCTCCTGACAGGAGGG